TTCTATAGTTGAAGGTACAAATGAGGACAAGTCTGAGGCATTGATATAGATTAGCCTTGAATGTGAGTGGTCCTTCAATACTGTTGGTTTTGCACAGCAAATAATGAACATTAATAGCGTAAGTTAGGTGATAAGAATTTAAGATAAGAAAAACAATAAAAACATGATACAAATATATAACGTGGTTCGATATAATATATCCAACTTGATACACATAACTACTTTCACGGACCAAAAACCTATATTGATACATTATTCACTAAAAAAATTAGTCATCTAGTAACTGATTGCATAATACTTAACTTTATTTATAGAGATAAAATAGTGTAACCAATACAATTTGGATACTGTCAAATCTCTATGTTTCCTATAGGTCATTAATAAGCCTATCCATGGTTTATTATGACTCTTCCAATACGTTTTATATTCCATTTAAGATTCTCACATTGTTTACCAAACAAACTCTTTTCATGATAATTAGAGAGCTTGAGTCAAATTTCAACAACCTCCCTTGAACCAAACTCTTCAAATTTGGTCATGCCCAAGATCGGGCTTAGCAACCTTGATTCTAATCCACCAGTTTTTTCAACCACCACATACAAACCTAATCTTCTAAGTCGCCTCAATCCTTTCTGTCTTTCAAGAACCTGAGCTTTGACTAAATCTTCTATGTGCCTTTACTAGTGTCTTACCAACCCTTGAGAGGTCTCAATGGTCAATGTTTTACCATTCAAAGGTAAAGCCTAGTGCTCATAAACCACGAGACACCATATCATCACGATGGGGTTTATATCAGCTCAATAGCTTCCAAACTATTGTAATACTGGGACTTCAACTCTAAGAGCTCAAAAATCTTAAAAACCATCTTCAACACAATATATGTGGTAATTCTTAAAATTCAAATAATCTGGAAGTAACTTTATCTCCCGTTTGATTTCATATCAACTTTAAATTTTTCCTTGTGTATCCAAACAAAAATATGCATCAACTAATTTTTCAAGATTTCGTCCTTAATGTATGTAGGACCAAATCAATCTTCACACCATGTCATACACACATGGCAAGGAAATCTTCTTCAACATGAACACCAACTTGATCATTAAATCGCTAACAACTTGCTTTGATTGTTGCATCTGAATTGTCAATCTAATTATGATTGTTCTACTAATGGGTCTTTGGTTCAATAGTACTTTTTTTCTTGTAAAGACTTTGCTTTCTTGAGATCAAAAGTTCAAGCCCCCCTCCCAAAATAAAATAAAATAAAAACTCTAATTATTCTACTAGGATCATCAATTTAGCTCTGATACCATTTTTTGATGTTGCACAACTGATCATTAACATTAATAGCATAAGTTGGCAGATAAGAATTGAAGATAGGAGAAGCAATGAAAACATGACACAAAAATATAATAACATGGTTCGATACAACATACTCACATTGGTACACCATATTTAAATCCACAAACCAAAAACTTACATCGACATATTATCACTGGAAAAATTGGTTATCTGGTAACTAATTATATCAACCCTATTTATAGAGATAAAATATTGTAACTCAATACAATTTGAATATTGTCAAATCTCTATTTTTCCTATCAAGTCATTAATAAACCTATCTATGGTTTATTATGACTCTTCTAATACATTTTCTATTCCATTCAGGATTCTCACATTATTTACCAAACAAACTCTTTTCAAGATAATTAGAAAGTTTGAGCCAAATTCCAACAAACACAAAGTTTTGTGCTCACAGAGAACAAACATGACCGAAAAAGGGGAAAAATTGGTTAGAGATCAAGTGGCTCATGACTCCGCCAAAGTTCACCCAATGCGGTGGAAGTAAGCTTGTAATCGGACAACTATCGACCGTAGTGGGCATTAAGGCAATGGTGGTCGGCAATGATGAAGCATGGTAGGATGATAGTGGGGGACAATAATTTTGGCAGTGGAGAAAGATTGGTTGGTCATGCCTGAGGTAGAGAGAAGAAAAGATAAGATAAGGATGGTTCTTGCAGGAGACAGAAAGAAACAAGGGAATGGTGGTTAGCTGAGGGGGAAAAAGGGTGAGTATTGTTGGGTCATGAGAGAGGGAGGGGGAGAGAGAGAGAAGGGGGTAATGAAGGGGTTTTTAAATGGTTCAAGGAGTTTGGGTGGAATGAGGAATCCAAATCACTTTACCTTCCTTAATTTTTCCATATGTGATAGATTATACAATGCTCGTTTGGTTGCTGTATTAAAAATGATTGAATGGATAAATGAATTTAGTCTAATACAATACAAATGAACAAAAGACAAGATTAAATAAAGTATTAGAATAATACGTAAATTTTTTTAGTCTTTGACGTACACAACATTAGCGTTGAATAATAGTTATTTAGTCCAATCCGTTATTTGGTTAAAAATTTATTTCATCGTATTAATATTAAATTAACAAAAATTTCCTCAATCAATTCTAGCATGCGTCAAAGTGTTTGTTATATTGATTACAGTTTGGTCTTATCAGTTGTGAGATTATAATAGTAAATATATACAATAATACATTTAAATTAGATTATAATATCACCTCTTTTGGTGGTATTAAAATATTTTCATAATACAAATTTATCCTATAAAAAACATACAATAAGTATACACCTAATATACATTTTTAAAATTTATACAAAATCAAATTTATCTACCAAACAATGTATTATACCTGATTAAATTAATAATAATACAACACAATATTTAATCAACTCATAATACGTCTATAAAACGAATCCACGGTGTCTTAGAAGAGAACTACCTATAGTAAGTTCCACTTGGTTCGT